CCGTTAGCTTAACTAGTGCAGTTGTAAAACTGATGGAGAAAATCATTCGGATATCTGTCATAAACTGTATTGAAGGGCATAATCTTTTCTCCTGGGAACAACATGGTTTTTGGAGAGGCCTATCATTCTTGACAAATCTTCTCATTGCAAGAGAAGATTGGGCTGCTGCAAAAGATGAGAATATTCCTGTGGATGTGACCTTCATAGATCTAAGTAAGGCTTTCGACAAAGTCTCCCGCTTTGGTCTTAAATTCCAACTAGAATGTTCTGAAATCCATTATACAGTCATAGATTGGATAAGTAACGTCCTGCATGAGAGAGGACAGAGGGTAAGGGTAACTAAGGCTCTCTCCTCGTGGGTACCTGTAAAAGGTGGTCGATTTATGTGCGACCACATTTAGAATATGGGCTTCAAGCAGCGAGTCCTTGTTTTAAGTATGAAGCAGTGATGCTGGAAAGAGTCCAACGACAAGGTACTTAGATAGAACAAGGTCTATCTGGCCTATCTTATGAAGACAGACTGAGACACCTCAACTTCCGTTATCTTACCGTAGTGAATTACTGGAATTCTCTACCGGAACACGAAATATCAGCAACTTCTGTTATTATATTCAAAACGAGATTGGACATCTACAGTATTACAAACTGCAAAGATTAATATAGGTCGATAGACCTCCTATCCTTATTGCTGAAGACTGATTGACAGAAAGGTCAGAGATATCTCCAAGGTTCAAGATTACGAAAAAATTATCCCAAAGCATGATCGTTTTCCCAGATTTCTGAATAGGCTTAAGTTGGTATCCTCTATTTTTTGCGATTTGATTGCATTCTTGATTACTGTGCCATCTGCTGGCTAGTTGTACAATGTTAGGAGTAGGCTGGACGGTCAATTTACTGACTAATTTTCTTACAAAAGCCGGTCCGTTTAGCATTTTCAACTGTGATGTTCGATCATTTTTGGGACTCTAGGTGCAGTTAGGAAGTTTGTATCTAGGAGACATAAGTTTTATCAGAGAGTCAAACACTGTCGATGTTATGGCGGTTTTGAGTTTCGGCATACCTTCACTAGTGTCGATACATGTTCCATCGACAGTAAGGTGTTGAAGACTCTCTTCACCTTCCCGAGTGTCTTTATTTGTTTGTTCGTCTCAGGACTTCCTATTTTCTGTGTTGATGACAATATTTTCGCAGACCTGTCTAGAGAATGGTGATGTTGCCTAGCAGATCCCCAGCATTCAAATTATTGTGCCACGTACCCAACTGCACGAGACAAACGCGCTCGCTCATGATACAAGATATACAAATCCACGAATAACTACCAAACTGACTACAGCTGGTTTTGCAGCAAACACGATTCCATTATAGAAGGTTTTGCTGGTTAAAGTTGAAGATGCCACAAATATACAGAGTTTGACAACGGTTTAACCAGTAACGCCATTGTTGGGATATTCAGAAAAATATCCCAAAGATTATTCTGCTAATCCTAATGCTATTCTTGGACATGAAATGGTATCATCCTATTGGTCAGTATTCACTTAACGTGTCATTTTCCTACTGGTAATTATTGTACAATGTTATTTTCTATTTTATGGTACGATGTGGTCTGCTTGACTGGTATATAAACTAAGTGTGTTTGAAATATAATGATTAATATATCCAAGGCTGAGACTTGCGTTCTGGACTCAAATGGCTGGGCTAGACATGGAAGCGGGACCACTCAGAACCTTAGGTCGTTCTTACGTGTTTGCGCGTCTTTGGTCCGATCGATAATTCGCTACCCTCTAATCTGCCCTCAGATATATCAACCTTCTAATATAACTCGTACCCACCAAGAGAAATCAATAGACATAATCGAGGAGATTGGAAGATATATTTGATGACTATCAATATATCGAGGATCGTCTGATCTAGTCTGGCTAGCGATTGCAGTGGACGTTGAGCACGGCGTTCCCACACGTGATCTGGTGCGGATGCATGACCGAGCGCCTTCAGCTAGGTGAGTTCATTAAAACACGTGGTCAGCATCCAATGTCGAAAACTTAGTGAGTTATTTATTTTGGGGATTTATTTACCGCAAAAGATCAATCCCCTTTAGTGGGGAAGTGAGGCCCTTAAGACGTGACCAGCCAGAAGTTTAAACCCAACGAGTTTTGTCGTTGGTAAACACTCTTCTGATAGCTCGCTAGGTTAAGCAGCGTCTGATCGTCTTTCCTTACTATAAGGGACCATGAAATACAATATAGTAAGAGAATAATGTACAATCAAAATTTTGGTTCCTCGTAAACCTCATCGTTCTTTTTATCGTTTATTCCAGCCGTCCTGGAAAGGAAAAAAAGAAAATGTAACTGCATGTCAAAATGACCTCGTACGCGCTTTAAGACACAAAATGGGCGAAAAAAGGTTAATAACGTAAAAGCGATTTTTACAAAATGTTTTTTTTTTAAATCTCTTTAATATACATATTAGCCAAATGATAAATATATACAAACATAAGCATATTAAAATTTTTTATATATTATATATAATGCAATGGAAAATCGAGATGAAACAAAATGTTAACTAGTGTCTTACGTGCAATAGTCATTTAGATGTTCTGGAAATCTTACTCTTCTTCCAGAACGCGTTGTTTTAAGTTTATTTTCAGATACTGTCGGAGTATCATCGTGCGTGTTGGTCTTCGGATGAGGTATTATAAGTGCCGGAGTCGTGTCGTTCGATTGTACTGAAGTAAAGTCGACGTGGATAGGATTTCCTTCTAAATACGCTGCTTTTAAGCGATCTATGCTGATGCTATCGTTTGTTCCGTTCTTATCGACTATATAGTACTTAGATTTACGTTGAAGAACTTTGAAAGGTCCTTCGTATGCTAATTCGAATGATCGTCGATGCAAGTCTCGACGTACGAAGACGTGTGTACTATATCGCAAGTCAGGTTGAACGAAAACATCAGTTGATTGAGGTCGAGTGGAAACAGGTTTAACTGAACGCATTGCGTTTGTAAGCCTGTTCGTGTAGGAGGTTAGATCCATGCTCATTGAAGAGGATGAAGGATCCATGAATTCTCCTGGAAGTCGAAGTGTCGTTCCATAGACGAGTTGAGCTGCAGTGTGTCCAATGTCAGCTTTCACTGCATTGCGAATACCCAGTAAGACAAGTGGAAGAGCGTCGGTCCACTGTGAAACGTTTGCAGCTGATAGTGAAGCTTTTAGTTGTCGGTGAAAACGTTCTACCAACCTGTTTGCTTGTGCATGGTAGGCAGTCGTTCGGAAGCAAGTGATTCCTAAAAGTGTGGTCAGGCGACGGAAAAGATCAGAATCAAACTGACGTCCGCGGTCTGTAGTGATGGTTAAAGGGCAGCCGAAGTTTGCTACCAATCGTTCGACGAATGTGAGGGCCACTGTTTCAGCAGTGATGTCCTTGATAGGTACTGCTTTTGGCCACCGAGTGAAACGGTCTACGCAGGTTAAGAGGTAAGAGTATCCATTTGAATCTGGTAAAGGTCCTACCAAATCCAGATGAACATGGTCGAAACGAGCATCGGGAGTTTTAAACGAGCCTAAGGGACATTTATTGTGTCTGATAACCTTAGATTTTTGGCAGCTTACACAGGAGCGTGCCCACTCCCTCACGTCTTTATTCATGCCAGGCCAGCAAAACCGTTCTGCTATAAGCTTGATGGTTGCACGAACACCTGGATGCGAAAGTTTGTGCAATGTGTTGAAGACATTGCGTCGATAATGTTTCGGCACGATTGGGCGATCCCTACCTGTAGATGTGTCACAAAGTAAGGTTTCCTTACCTGTTCCCATCTGTTTGATGCGTAGTTTAAGTGTTGTGGACGATAACTCGTGCTGAAGATCATTGTCTTCTTTTTGAAGCTCGGAGAGTTTAAGAAGGTCGATTCCTTGGAAACTGTTCAAGGAAGTTATGCGAGATAAAGCGTCTACAACTACATTGTTTGCTCCAGAGATGTGTTGAATGTCTGAAGTAAACTGCAAAATGTAGTCCAGTTGTCGAGACTCACGGGGAGAGTACTTGTCAGAAGGAGAGCTTAACGAGAAAGTGAGCGGTTTATGGTCCGTGAAAAGAGTGAATTCACGGCCTTCGATGTAGTGTTGGAAATGCCGTACAGCACAATACATAGCTAGGAGTTCCCTACCGAATGTGCTGTACCTCGATTCGGTGTCTAGCAACCTTCTAGAGTAAAATGCCGAGGGTTGCCAGGAGTTGCTAACCCATTGTTGTAAGACGCCTCCGATTGCCGAGTCCGAGGAGTCTACTGCGATACTAATGGGTGCTTCGGTGTCCTGATGTGCGAGCATTGTCGCTTTAGCAATCAGTTCCTTAACTGTGGAGAATGCTTTTTGTGCGGTGTCGTCCAAATTAATGGATTTCGCATTTCCACGAAGTTGGTCGGTCAGAGGTTTCATAAGTAATCCGCATTTGGGTATGAAACGTCTATAGAAACTTACGAGGCCGTTAAACGTGCGTAATTGCTTGACGGTGGTCGGTTCTGGGTAATCCAGAATGGCCGCCACTTTGGTTCTAAGGGGTCGGATACCTTGAGCATCGATAGTGTGTCCCAGAAAGTCTAATGAGTCGGTTCCAATTTGGCATTTCTGAATGTTTACAGTAATGCCATGTTTTTGTAGTCGTTTGAAAACAAGATCCAGATGCTGGAGATGCGATTCTCTGTCCGGACTTGCTATTAGGCAGTCGTCGACATGCGCATGTAAGAAGTTGAGACCTCGACAAACGTCGTCTATAAACCTTTGGAATATTTGAGTAGCGTTTCTTAGACCGAAAGGCATCCGCAAAAATTCATAGAGTCCCAATGGAGTGATGATAGCTGTTTTCGGTATATTGTCTGTAGCCATGAGGATTTGGTTATACGCTTTAACCAAGTCGATTTGCGAAAAGACAGTTGTACTTTTTGGTTCATGCAAGCTCATGTCAAATAATATTGGGGGGGTTTAAAGCTGTAGCGGCTACTTTAATGTTTAAGGTCGAGTGCCGGGAAAACTAAAAGAGGTTAGGCATTACTAAATGTTGGAGATATTTAGTCTCAATGGATTCCATCACATTTTTAATTTCGATTCACTATTATTAGGCTTTAACACTGCAACTTTATCCCGTGCAGTTAATTATGGTTCCTCCTGTTTATTCGGTCTCGACTATTCCTGATCTCCCCATTTTGGGGAAAATCTTTTCCGGTTTGGGTAAATTCTGGAGAAATCGCTGTAAAAAGCTTTGAAAATGTCACAGAGCCCGCAAGATTTTCCCAGGTCTGGGGAAAATCTTCAAAAATTTTGAGGAATTTAGTGTTTTCCGCAATATTTCCACAGGAATCTTATAACACTTTGGGGTTTTCCCTCGAAATTTCTCCAAGATAGTAGAATTGAGTTGTTCATTCCTGTCATTAAAAGCCGTGATTTCGGTGCCTGTGGACACCCATTAGGTGGAAATAACTTATATTGTGAAACCGAGAAAAATAGCTTTTTAATCAAAGTTTTGCCCAAGCAACTTATAAGGTGGAAATAAAGGCTAATAAGGAGTAATTTAAGTGGAAATTCCATCAAAAGTAAAGATAAATAACAGGAAAACGTCAAAACTCCTTATTGTCCTCCTGTCACGGGAAAATAATCCAGAATTTTCCTTTTTTATTGCTCTATTTGAAACGTCTCTGAATTGTTTAATTTTTGCTTCGATCCATACCGACTTGCCTATTTTCCCCTAAATACTCGCCTACTTTGCAACTGCGCACTTGAATACATGCTTCGTTGGCCACCTTTTGCCTAACCTCAAATGTTTTTTGTTCACCTTTATTTCCGTAATAAACCATGCTATGACTGTAATCCACTACGTTAAAAAGTGACACATGGTTGAAGACACTTATTGACAAGAAAAAAACACTGTACTGTAGAGGGATATTAGTGACAGACACTCGAGCAACGATTGTTATGTATTTTCATCGTAAGTGCCAAGTGCTAATGTCATTTACGAAGATCTGCTAAATAAACTGCAGGTAATAGGTTATTAGTGAAGAATGTGTCGCTATTGATAAGTGCATGTGGAACCAAGCAGGCTTACGCAACATAAACTTCATTTGTTCATGGGTTTAAAATGCAAGTCGTGAATTCTGCACACGGTAAGAAAAAGCCTTATTAAAAATAAGTTAGAGATAAAAAAAGCATTTCAATAGTAACGTCTTTCTTAAACTGTGGCGTTACTATTCCGAACCGAAAATAATCTCCATGTAAATTCTGAAGTTTAATAAACACTAAAATTTACAATGATGTCAAACTGCCATAATTTGTTAAACAACGGTTAACCCGAAGTATGACTTACGGTTATGTTCTCTAATACTGAACGCTCCACCTATAGAACAGAAATGAGTGGTCATAACTTAAAATTAGTACATACATGTTCGTAGTTCCTTCGACGACACTCAAATTTCGTCCCTCATGTCGTGAAAATACCATTGCGTTGCGATGTCATGCAGTTTACCAAGTTGTTGTTCGTCGACGGATGAAGACAAAAAACGATATGTTAGTGTGCATAATGGTTTAAAAAAATGTTCGGCCACATCCATGTCAGTGGAATTGCACAGAAACATTTCTTTCCGTTCCAATGCACCTCTACGAAATATTAATGAGATTACTGTACTGACCTCTTTGGCTTCTCTTCGTTTAGTGGCAATGTTTTTGTCCGTAAAACTGCTGACACAGTAACCAGCAAAGTTGTTGGACGAAACCAATACGTCCTTTGCAGTCTGGAAACTATCTATAGGAAGTGATCATTTCTATGTTTGTAAGTTACCACAGTAGTGGATGTCCTTGCACTTCAGGACTGGCCAATAATCATCTGTTCGGGCACTCTCCTGCAGGTGCATATCTACAGACAAAGTTGATTACACACAATCCACTTTTTAGCTGCAGTTAGAATCTGCCTCCAGCTTGGTGCGTCTATATGTACGAACTGCTTATTAGTCGGCTAAACAGTATATAAAAGGTAAGGAAATAGTTTAAAGTAATACTATCAACAGGAACTTGAAAAATGTATTCACATGAACCTATGTACCAATGGAACAGTTACCACATCATTGACATAGTTAATGGTGATACATTTACAGTCGATATCATTAATGGAAACTTATGTGTGCTCATGACTAACTATGGAGCACATAGATATTCCTATATTATTAGAAGGGAATGGTTCCTCGAAATAATCACATGGGTCGTTGAATAGTCTAAATCTAATTAGTCCATTTTTCCTTATATCAGTGACTAGCACAGGTTTTCCGTGTACTATTATTACATTATGCGGCTTAAATGAAGTTATTTTAGTTTTCTTACAGATAACTGTTTGGTTTCCGGGGTCAGACTTAACGACTGTTTATAAATTAGTGGCGGATATACTAGCTTGCAGCCTACCACAGAAAGATATCTCGGCATACCTCTGAGCAGTTTGCTTTGCTACAGCATAACTGCTATGCACTGACTTCCTAATCTTCTTCATATAAGACTCAAATGGAAAGGAGGAAAAAGGGTTTAAATCTACATTTGCATGAACGTCATCAAGGAGGTGCTTCAAGAAATGCACGTTATAAACTAAGTTTCCAGGTCCACAATACCATTCATATTTCTTAAGAAAATTAAGTAAATCATTTCTGACCGAACCTGTTTGCGCTGCTATGTAATCTGGAATGCGCTAACAAACACTTCGCCAATACTGAACGCTTGAAATTCAGGTACAATGGTTGTGGTAAACAGTGTTCAAGAATTACGGGGCCTAAACACAGAAGAGACAATCGACACTGTCGCTTTCCATACTGAGACGAACTCTAATGTCCGACATTTACGCTGAAAGTCTGCAGGACTATATGCCACACAACTTGATATTAACTTATTTATATTCACAGTTACAGACTTGTTCATGTTTCTAAGTCCTTTGTGAGAGAAATCTATCCATAGATTGACTAGTTTCTCAGTTACACCTAATTATACCATATGCATTGGATCTAAAGGGAATGTTAAAATCATATTAATGGCACGTGTTTCGAAATTAGAATGCCCTTGATCGTAAGTTGATTCAAGCCTCTGACAAAAGCTATCATCAGTTCTGTTTGGAAACATCATCCTTCCGTCAAGGCACCGACCAACTACAACACACCTATCACAACTTGCTTTCTCATTGTGATTAACTGTATGTAGCATCCAAACGAGCAGGTGTGTCACAGATTACAGCGATCAGTTTAACAGCTATGTATTTATTGAACTTAAAACTACACAACCTACGTCGCTCATTTCTTTCACTTCAGAATGCTGTCCGCAGATACTTCGTTAAATTCAGCCGGCCTAGTATTCCCTCCATAGATACCTATCATGAAGATGTCACTAAACTTAGGGGCAACGATGCGAGGACAAATAGCTGTTAGACCACTAGAGATGCTGGTCGTATTATAAATGCTTTCTGAGATCTTGTACCGGATTTACCAAGAAGCACTAGAAGTGTCTTACGAATGTGCACAAGTCAATAATTGTGGCTTATTTTAGGACGCATCGTTGCTCCTCTCAAATTCATTGTAGTTGATTTTGTTGCCCAGTTCTAAATTCAGTCGGCAACAAATTATCTCGTGTATTACGCCTGCGTTCTCTCAGTGTGGTGCAAAAGTCACTACAGTGTCTTTTTGAAGTTATTGACATTCATTTTGATGACTAGTTATTTAAAGCTAATTCAGAAAACAGTACTCTTCAGTACTAGTGTTTTTCAACTTTGCAATCGACTCCATGTTGTTTTCATCCTAGAAATGCATAATATGATGAGTATTCGCGATTATTTGCACTTAATTATGTGTCTGAAGGTTTATGTAAAGTTGTTTCTTTACCGGGTTTGTTAGATTTTGATCGTTTTCTTGTCACTATTCAAGTATTTTGTCTATGTTGAATAAGAAAACTTTATTTTACAGCTCGAAGTTCTCTATTCCAAATGTCCATGAACTTTGGATAGTACTTTTGACAATTAGTAATGGCGGACAAATGTTGATCCTATAGAAAGCAATAATCTGAGCATGGATAGTTCGACTTTATACCAAAAGTTGTCAAGATATCTACCTTATTCTAAATGCAGAGTAAGTACATGAGTGATCTTTTAGAAATATATGATCGCAGAATGAAGGTTGCAAATGTAGTACATGGAAGCTCTCAGACAATGCGATAGATGAAAAACTTGTTGAAGCTATATGTGAAAATTGCTGTCATGTTCATTATAGCTTGTCTGATCCAAACGAGAGCACGTGGCTTAATAGTGCAATGCAAATGGTCGACGATGTGGAACGAATGTATATTTTATGTACCAAGGAAGAAGATTATGAAACAAGAAATATATATTTCTGTATTTTAAAGGTAAGACATCTTACAATCATCATTCCAATCTCATTTCTAGCGCCTTCGCAAGGCGTTAATGAATAAAGTACAACCCGTTTTTGATGACAAACCTCCTTTCGAGCGACCTGATATCAATACAGTAAGTATATAAAATGCGAATTCCACTTGATTCTCCAACTTTTAAAAGGCTGTACGAAACACGTTATTATTCTGTGCTGTCACTGATCCTCAAAATCCAGAAATAACAATTGAACTGTGTAAATTATTCCTAGCATATGTGAATTCATATAAGATCACATATCCAAGTCAAAGGATTCAGAAGTATGAAAATAAAACAGGATACAAATTAATATATATGAGGTATTTTGTATTGTATATATATACTTATTTGACTCCTTTCAGGTGGATATGCCACTGTTATGTGCCAAAGTTCTGTAATGCCTTACCATATACTGAGGCTACATGTGCATTTGGAAAGAATTTCTTGTTAGCCGTTTTGCCTGAAATTAAAAGAAGACTAATCGAATTTTTCAAACAAGATTCTGTAATCCCGTCCATGCTAGATGCAAAGATACATTTAATACAACCTTTAACACGGTAACTAGCAATCATTTGTCGTCCTTAAATTTTTAGTGCTATCCTACTCATTGGTACTTCATTCCCGTTCTAATTATTTTCTATTCAGACTGTGTAATTTGCTGGAAGATAATGTTGAGGACAAAACAACTTCCGTCTGGGATCCGTATTTCCAACCACCATTGCGTCCCGACAATGTAATTACACCAAGCGGATTATTACAGTCGATTTCTATTGACCACGTGGTCGATTTCTCTACACATCAACGTAATATAATCATCAGTAGTTCAAGTGAACTGAAAAGTGATTCAATTGTTACACCAGCTCTCACTGATCTAAAAGCAGAGAAACTGTTTAGTAATCCAGATTTGGTGAATGGTGATAAGGATATGGTAGTTAATACACCTATTAAGTCTGAACCTGAAGAGTCACTTACAAAACCTGCCAAAGTAACTGATCATACAACGCATCGAAGGACAAGTAAGTGTTAGTAAATTTTCATTGAAGACAGTCACTTTTTTATTTGAATCTTTACGCCTGATCTGACTTTAAGCCCAATTTCTAGTCTGTGATTTTCATTTATCTTATTTCCTGTTTGGAGATTGTGTAGTTTTAGTGGGTTTAAATATCTTTATTCTGAATATTCCTATTGTTGGTATTGCCGGATCTTTAGCAAATAAAGACCTAAAGCACATAATTTATCCGTTAAACCCCTGGACTCACTTATAAACCAAAGTTGTGCGATGCCAAGCAGTATTTCCGGATACAATTGAAAAGAATGGTCTCTTGATATGCTTTTACTTGTAAGCATACTATGGTTTGTGCTACTTATACTGACATATATAAGTAGTATTTAGTAACAGTCATAAGTGGAAATGCCTGGAAGCAGAAAGTTGAAATGAAGAGAACAGGACGATAATCGGAGAGCAATCAAAATAACAACGGGACTAGAGAAATAATGGAACATGTAAAGGAAAACGCAGAGATGTGTAAATGATGTATTTAATGTATGATTTTCACATTTTACTAAGCCACTGTGTGTTTTTTCATTAGACAATAAATTGGTTTTCCCCGCCTGAGTTCTCGTTCATTACAATACTTCTTTTTGGTCAGTACCAAACAAAACACTTCAACATTTTTGTTTCTATAAAGGCTTCCTAAATGACTAAAAGTTATAATTCACTTGCCATAAATCAAACAAACTGCCATTCGAAGTCTCTGTGTCAACTGTTGATCATGTCTATTGAAGTCATGGAGCTATCATTGCTGAAGTTAAGCGTAGTGTGACACCCTGATGTCTTAGACCGGTTATTATACGAGTAGAATGGACAAAAGTCATAGTTAACTTGCGCACCATGGCCAGTCGTAATCGTTGATGAGACCTCAAAGTTTGTTATCCAGTGCATCAGTTTTTTTACCACTGTTGCTACTGTCATGTTCTTCAGTGAATAGCTACGGGTCATCTAGTAAATCTGTCGATATATGTTAGCAAGTGTGTATACCCTCTCAAAAGTGGTAGCGGTCCCACAACCTGAATATGAATATGATCAAACCTTGCTTTTGGTGAGGGAAAGACTCCTGTAGACAACATGGTGTACCTGTGGATCTTCAGTTTCTGGCACTATATATATTCTCCCTCTCATTTTCGTGAGTCTCTATTTGTATTTGATCATATAAATTAATCTGTAATAAGCTTTACTGTTTCTCTAATACCTGGGTAAGATAAGTTTAGTTTTTCAAAAATACTTCGTTTCATGCTGTAGGGTACAAGGGGGCGAGTTTTACTTGTCGAAATATCATAAGTCAATGCTTTATTTTCATTCGCAGAAAGTTTCGAAATGTTAACGTTGTTTTCTTAGGTTCCAAAAGTCTATTTAACTCATTATTGAGCTTTTGAGGTTTTATCGTTTCTTGATAACTTGTGTCAGGGATTGTGAAAACGTTAATATCTGTACTTGATAGCCCATCTACGCAGTCGTCTTCCTTCCCTTTTACATATTATATGTCGGTAGTAAACTGCAATGAAATCGAGATGTTTTAATTTTCTTGGAGAATAATTGGTATAACCGTTTACTACTGCTTATAATCGGTACAAACCATGAACTATGTGTTTTCTATTATGTATCAAAAATGTTTGATAGATAGATTACCAACAATTCCCGACTAAACATACTATAGGGTGTTTATCTTGGATTGAGTCTTGTAGTCTATTGGTAATATAGGCTTGTGCAAATGACAGTCCATGATGTACTTGGTCAATATACCTTTCAAAATAGTAAATATATTTTTCTGTTGTAAACCGATGAGTAGAAAAATTATATTTCCGACGTTTCGTGACATAAGCCGCTTCTTCAAAGTAAATAAATAACCGAAATAAATCAATACAAGTTTAAATAGTCAGAAATACAATTTTTCTACTCATTGGGTTATAACAAAAAATACATTTATTATTAACCTTCTACCAATGCTCAATTTATTTGAAACAATCAAGTCCATCCTTGGCATTGATATCTATAAACCACTTAGAAGTTTGCTGCCTTAGATAATCCGAACAGCATTCTTACAAGTTTGAATAAACCAAACAGTAATGTAATTGCTATTTTTGGAACTTCTTTTGGCGCTACAGGGATGTAGTGATATCTTCGGACTAAGTCAGTTTTGGTGAAAATAATATTACCAACCATCTTTTTGTTGCAATTATGAATGTACGGTATAGCGTATCTATCCACACGGGATGATTGAAGGTTGTACCATGTCCCACCCGTTCACCTTGTCAGTTTCTTCTTTTGCTACAACACAACGTTTAAGGTCTAGGGGTCTTGGACGTTAGAAAAAGGGCGTCCTTTAGTGTCACTATGGCGTACCACACTATCTCAAACCCTCTCGTTTAAAAGTCTGTTGAAATAAATTAGGAAACTGACAGCAAATTAGTATACTCGTCAGCTGCACGCTGTAGTTTAACTGGTAAATGCATAGACGTCTCAGTAGGCACCCTCCATTATTTCGACCTTAGGTCGACACGTACAAGCTTCTGGTTTTCAACGTTTACGAGTATTTTGTCGGATGACAGAAAATTAACGCCCATTATAATGGTTAATTATGTAGATGAAGTATGGATTCTACTCAGATCGTAAGTGACATATTGAAAAAGCATAACACCTGTTACCCATAGTGTGGAGCACAGGCCACTGAGCAAGACTGTCCAACCAACCATGTCCCGCGATATCCTTTCCAGTTTTCTCCAAGTGCTATTCATTCATTTGATGTCTGCCTCCATTTCCGATACACTATGTTATTTGGTCTGCCTCTTTTGCTTTTGTCTTCCGGAACCCAAGTTACGGATTTCCTAATGATACACTTTGATGATCTCCGCGATGTTTATACAACCCACCCCCGGCATCTTTTCTTAATTTTCAGTTTAACTGAAAGTCGGATGGTTATTAGCCATCTCCGGTTGTTGCTTATGGTATCTAGCCCAAGGACATTGAGTATCTCGCGTAGATAATTGTTTATAAATACTTGTACATTTAAGATGACGGTCGTAGTTCTGCACGTATCCACTCCTTACAGTAGAACCGTCTTTACGTTCGTATTGACTTGTGGCTCTGGTTTACAATATTTCACTGCCAGTTGCTTTGTTGTATCCTATAGTAGTTGTCTCATATTTCCTTGTGTTGCAGTCTTTTTCGTTGTCATTGCTAAGTGTTCCACGTATTTCTGCTTGTTGGTTGTAATGCTCCTCTTCACTCTCTTGTCTGGTTCTGCGTATTCAGTCTGTGCTCTGACTATCTCTGCTGTTGTTCAGCTGTTACTAATTGCTGTCTTCTTGTTCTTCCTTTGTTGAATGTTGTCCAAGGTATCAATAAGTATCTGTTCCTTATGATGATGCTTGTTGCGGCCTAGAACCTGTTTGAACTGTGGAGTTAGTGCATCTTTGATCCGTTTCCAGTTGTTCTCCATCGTAGTCTCCTCTTGTTTGATTAGATGCTGTAGTACTTGTAACCTGTTGTTGAGTTTGTCAGTATGTCGAAGGAAGGCTGTATTGAACCTTTATAATGCTGTTTCTCTAGTTGTCCAGTAGTTCTTTAGCTTGAGTTTCATCTTGGCAACCACCAGGTAGATGGTGATCTGAAGGTGTGCAGCTCGTCTCTTTGCTCTCAAGTCTCCCATTGATCTTCTGAACTCTTTATTGACGTAAATATGATCGATCTGATTCTGTGCAGTGTGATCCTCCGGTAAGACCCATGTAGGTTTGTGTATGCGTTTGTGGAGGAATACAGTACCACGTACAACCATTCAATTGAATGAAGATAAGTTTGCAAAGTTATCATTATTTTAACCCCTTGTTCTCAGTCAGTCCATGTCGTTTCATAATATCTTCATAGTGAGTGTAGTCCGATCCGACTTTGCATCTAAGTATCCAATCAGGATGGTTAGGTTCTTTCGCAGTCACTTCTCTACGGTCGACTGGAACCTCACGAAGCTGATGTTTATCGCCTTCATTGCTATCATTGTTGAGTGCACATTACTGGATAACATTGATTGTGTTCACCTCGTTCTATGTTTTGAAGAATGCTCTGATGGTTCTGGATCATGAGATACCCATTGTATGAGTGCTTTTCGTGCTTTGTAGAGCATCAGTGCAACTCCTTGTGTGTTCAAAGCATTTTCTTCTTCATGAACAAAGCACACTGCATTACTGAACTTATTTGGATACATGCTTGAATTTCTGTACTTTTTTGTGTACCTAGTCCGATTATAAACAAGTATTTGCTCTTTTCATATACAGTCGCTTTTGGTGGAATTCAACGTTACTTGTTGACGTGGATGGAAACTCTCACTTTGTCATGGATTTAAGAAAAACTATTGTGAAACATAGATATATTTCATTCTGTAACTGTTGATGAAAACGTTATTATGTGAGCTGCTGAAAGTTTTTCTTTTCTGTACTGCATCCAGGCTAATTGTTACTTCTTTTCTATTTTTAATCATAAAATAAACATTTAGGCGTACGTCTTCGAAGTCAATTATCGATTAATACACAATCCTCTGTGAGTGATTCAGAAAAGTCGAACTGTAAATCAGAAGACAAAACTGTGGTCACCGATAGCAACACTAAAAAGTCATTGAATGATAAGTTAAATATTTCAGATGTTAGTAGTACAGAATTAGAACAAATTCTACAGGAAATGAAAAACAATGAAAGCCCTTGTAAAGGATTTTATCCTTTTCAAACGGTAAACCTCAAACTTTATTCCTATATTGTTCTTTTTAAAATTTGTTCTAGTTATTCATATTCTTTTTTACTCCTTCTTTGCATCTATACACAAATACTACTTTAATGTTTTATTTGTAAGTGAACTCTACAAAGTTAACAGTAATGAATAAACTCAAAGCAAACATGAGTGATCAAATCTTTCATATACTGTGTTCATTTTTTGATTTCCTGTTACAGCCATACTGGATAATGTCGTGCCCAATAAACTATGATTATATCTGTGTTCTTAGTGCATAAATATGTAATGGAGTCATGTACGTACGTACGCAGTTCTACGTTGTTGACTGACTGACTGGAGTCATGCTTTCAAACATATTCCATTCACTTCGCCCTAACTATATAACTAGTATCATTAATCATCATCCGAAAATATTACTCATTTATATCTTAAAAGAAGTCAGCACTAAAATTCATATATTGTTGGACAATGTTAGTATTTTACAAATTAACTGGCATTTACACACCTATTTCGTTCATGATTGTGTAAAATTACACATGTACTAATTTTCTTAAAATCAATCACTCAGACTCAGATACTCAGTGAAAAATCATAACTTCAAAATCGTGTTGAATATCCACTTTCATGAATTCAGCATACAGAACTGTTTTATTTGCTTGTGGTGTGTATTGTAAATAATAACAACCTCTTGTAGAAATAAATTACTTATCTGTTTTGTTATAGTGGTGAAATGCTTAATTGGTTTATTTATTCAATTGTGGATTGTCTCTTTCTTTCTTGATAACTTGTTAGCTTCATTCGTTAAATGCAACAAGAGATGCCGCTGCACGTCAAGAAGAATCAGCTGGGAATATTGAATTTCATATAGTTAATAATAGTTTAAATCCTAATCAACCCCCACAAACATATATTTGGCTTTTGGAGTTATTAAATGTATTTGCTTTGCAATTACCTCGTATGCCGAAGGAATACATTGCACGACTTATTTTTGACCCGTAAGTTTGTATACGTGATATTCACAATTGTTGTTTTTTACTTTGTTTGATGGGTTGTTTTCCCGACTCAACTATTTCGAAAGATATACTCTTTTTTGTCAACTAAACTATTATTCATAAATTCCAATATTAAATAATTTAACTGAAATGTATTTTAATTTTATGTACTTCTTAAAATAATTTTCTAGATGTGTCTCAGTGGTTTGCGGATTCTTCTTTCAACTATTGGATCACAATCCAGTGTCATTGTTTAGAGTTAAAACAGTCTATTAGTAGTACTATTTCTCATACATCAAGTCTTTTGAGTCGGAGTTTGGTATAGTAAAATGTTATCTTACATTTGCGATTATTCCTTCCAACTAACAAAAGTGTAGTCTTCCAATGTGACAAGACTGAAATTTGTAATTAGAAGTCGTGAAGGTTCTGTTATAATCATATGTTTAATTATTATACTCTAAACAATTCGCTCAATTAATCTCTTACGATGGTATAAAAAGATATTTAAGCAGGAATGTTATTGTTTTGTTTGCATGAATTATCATGTAAAGCCTGTCAATCAGTATGTGATTCAATCAGTCAGTCAGTAACAACGTAGAACTTAGTACATACATACATCAGCTCAAGTTGCCACACCACATTAGCACTGAGATGCAGTTGTCGATTCAAATCCCATAGTGGTAGAGATAGTAAGAGTATAAGCAGTAATCGGGAAGATTAGTGTTTGGAGATGTTATTCAAGGAGTATAATCCAGTGAAATAAATTTGGAAAGAGGAAAAAAGAGACAAAGATAATTCAAGAGATTAGAATTTGGGAGAACACAGAGTGGATGCACCTGCACCATTACAAACGATTTTGAGCCATGTCATTCAGAGTCTCTAACCATCGGTTGCTATCATCTCGCGGTCCCCAACCAGGTAGTCTACACCTACCAACATGACTCAGTCCACTTGTCAGTGACTTCATGGACTTGTGCCATGTTTTGGTTTGGCCGCTTCTAGCTTTCTTCCAACCTACTGCTATACCACTGAACATCGCACGTCGAGGCAGTCGGTGGTTGGGCATACGTAACACGTGTCCCAGCCATCTCAACTGATGAAGTTTCACTACTTCATCAATTGATTCGCCATCCTTACCTAGTACCCGTTTCCTAACAACTGCGTTACTTACTCGATCGTCCCAGGATATACGAGCAATGTTTCGAAGACACCTATGATCAAGCATGTGATTAATTATCAACCAAGTCATTAGTATATATATTACCATATCGTGACTTTTCACTTCGATGTATTTATTTATTTATTTATTTATTTGAACACATATATATTAGTACAGGAGTGCGCCAAATATATATACGCCACACAAAACAATGAGAATTTAAGAAGAAGAAAAAGAAAAAAGTGGGAAACGTGAAAAAAGTATAAAAAAAACAATAACGAAGAGATTGGTGTAAGGTAGTGTAATAATAATAGTGATAGTAGGGGAACAGAAGGGTACAATCAGAAGAAATCTTTCAGTTAAGGAAGATACAACCACGTTTTATGAAGGAAGTAAAAGAACGTTACAGCAAGATCTCCACCGGCTTCTATTCTGAGCCATATCTGATAACGTCTCTGGCCACTGTGTTGTACCATCTCTCGGACCCCAACCAGGGAGTCGTGGAGGACCAACACAAGCCAGCCCTTTTCAGCTTTCTTTCATACCACGACACTATGTCATATACTGACCACCTCTCCGCTTTTTCCAACCAGTTCTAGAGTCGGCCAATAATGCACGACGTGGAATTCTCTGGGACGACATTCGTAGAACATGTTCAAGCCACCGAAGTCGGTGTTTCAAGATGGTGACACCAATTGCATTATCGTCTCTGTGCCGAATCTCTGCATTACTAACATGGTGTTGCCACCAGAAGAAACCCAGTGCTTAAAAGCGGGACGTTTCGCAAACTCAAAACTGACTGTACCCGCCATTTTCATGGCGTCATGCAATTGCAACCAACGCTCATCTATACTTTTCGGTGGAATGGTAGCTAGCCTAGAAGCTAGCTCGGTTCGATACTTAGTTGCAACCATCTTGCTGACATCAATCCTTTGGTGGCGGTCACTTCTTTGGCCACTGAAAAGTAAGGTAAGATTGGCACAGACCAGAGCATGATCAGAGTCCAGATAGGTACTCCAAAAGGAGTGGCAGTTTTTTACACAACCATGCCAACGGTAGCTGATCGCGATGTGATCAATCTGAGTCCAGGCTTGAGATGCAGAAGGAGGACGTTAGGTGGCACATCGGCAATGACTGTGCTGAAAGTTGATGCTAGCCAGAAACAGGTTGTTGTTTGTGCACAGTTGCAGTAGACGGCCCCGTTATCTGTCCTGCGACCAACAAGTCCCCATCGGCCACCTAAACGACTCTCTTCTGTGTCTAGACGCTCGACCTGAGCATTTAAGTCTCCGGCTAGTACTACAATATCTGTCGAACGCACTTTCTGGAGAAGAACAGATAACTGGTGGTAGAGCTCATCCTTGATTACATCCGGGCTGCAATCTGTCGGGGCATTGGAGGAGATGACGAAAAGACATCGTTTCTCACGCCGATTTCTTCTTACTTTGATGGAACTCTCTGATCTAACAGCACATAACCGACTGTTAATGGGGATCCAATCGATTAGTGCTGCCTCAGCTCTAGCGCTTAGTGCGACACCAACGCCAGCAAGACCAGACGAAGATGCCACAGGGTCCTCGGATAAGCGCACGTGAAATAAGCTTTTTGAAGTGACAGATGTAGAGCGAATTTGTAGTACTTCACTAGAGTCTTGAATACGAGTCTCGGATAGACAGCAGACATCGATATGAAGACTTTCCAAAGACATAGCCGACCTTATCTGTTGTCCGACCTGCATAAATCTGTGAACATTGAAGGCAGCCAGTTTGAATGATGCACGTGGTTTCAGAAAAACTGCTTCAGTACTCATATTCGGTGGTAACGTACAATTTTCAACCAGCCAGTGACTCGAGAACGTTTAGATACAGTCGAAAAAAATAAGTATAGACAGAGTAGGAATAAAAGAGGGTGAATAATGACGTAGTAAATAATAATAATAATAATAATAATAATAATAATAATAATCAGAATGGGTTTTGTGGAGAGTTTTTAGAAATTTTACAGGTTGAAATCATGAGTCAGTTGAAGTTAGACCAACATTGAAAACCTGGAAGCACTGGACGGCCGTTTCGTCCTGGTATGGGACTCCTCAGCAGTGCGCATCCACTGACTCATGATTTCAACCTGTGAAATTTCTAAAAACTCTCCACAAAACCCATTCTGATAATAATCAACTGCTCATTAGTGACTGACTTCAAGAAAACTCCTGGAGTTCTAGTGAGAAGCCGTTACCAGTGGAGTTCAACCGGTCTGTTGTGAGATAACTCACTGAAGACAATGGTGTACGGTGGCGCAACTTTGAGGATTGGTTGAAGTTAGACATTAACACCGTTGGATGCCGGCTCAGTGGTCTAGTGGTTAAGTGCTCACGCGCGAAGCCAGTTGGTCCTGGGTTCGAGCCCCGCGTGGTGCGGGATCGTGGATGCGCACCGCTGATGAGTCTCATACCAGGACGAAACGGTCGTCCAGTGCTTCCAGGTTTTCAATGGTGGTCTAGCTTCAACTGACTCATGATTTCAACCTGTGAAATAATAATAATAATAATAATAATAATAATAATAATAGAATCATTTGAATATTCGTCGAAGCAAGAGAATTAGTTTCCATGATCATAGACAGGTCAGTTCATTAATTGCGTGTGGGCTGCGATACTGCTCGGGTGACCAGACCGAAGCAGGTGGTTATCTTAGGGGGCTACACTCCGAGCCTTTGACCTAAAGGTCTAACCCACAAGGAAGTGGAGCATCGTAAGGAGATGCAGTCACATGGTAGCCGGTGACCAACGATTGTTTGATACGCCATTTGTTCCCGGCGGATACTGGTGCCCATGTGCGCCATTGATTTGGAATCCGGTTACAGCGCCGGACATTCGCTTTTCGTCCTCTGATTTTCGTAAACAACACCCCCGCCACGAGAAGGCAGTGAGTAGGACTTCCCTGGCAGAGGCTGTGTACGCGCGGCCGTGTGAGAGTATTTCGAGAGGGAGGGTGAGCCCACTCCGCTCTCGGCCATACCAGGGCATTTGGGGGCCTTCGATATATCATATGTTCAGTACATACAAATCGTTATTACTGGTGACTTTCATTTATATTTAGTCTTTTGTTTCATTTATTTCACATGTATATACAGAAAACACAAAAATCTCATTTTGTTAAAAGTTTCGGATTCATGTGAAAAACATGCTATCGGCGGGATCTGCTTTCGTATGTTTCCATCTCAGGGATTTACGGAAATAGTGTTTTGTGCAGTAATTTTCAATGAACAAGTAAAAGTAAGTCATATATATATATATATATATATATATATATATATATATATATATATATATATATATATATATATATATAAACTTAAATTCAGTACATTATTTACTTATCAGCTTCTAAGTAGTATTGTTTCTAAACTATAGAATGCAAAAATTTGCTTATTTATGCTTCGTCGTAATCAGTAACATAAACAAGTTTCATAACCATAATAAAAGTAGCGATAACTAATACAAAGAAGTAAGTAGTTCAAAGTAGAATGGCAAATGATTTCGTGGGAGATTTAGACATTTCCGCAAAATCTCATTGGTAACTTCGCATTGATCATTTATTTTAAAACTGTAGAATTTCCAAATGAGTAGTACCAATATTAATTCAGTATAGAATATGGTCTATATGCCCAACGACCTATCATAATCTGCTGTACTGGCCTGAGTAGGATTTAATTGATATGAATTGATAATTGCCAAACTGAGACTTAAAATGAATCACGAATGCTATGACGGTTGCTGTTATTTGTGTAACAAATTATTCCCTACTTAACTGTCATCTTCTAGGTTATAAATCAGTCAATAGTTGTAAACACTTAATTCAATACCCAGAACCGATCATATATATTACAGGTAATATTTAATCCGTATCTTGTTTTAGATATTCCAATACATCATTATCATTCATCTACTTATTTCTGTCCTTAATTTCTATTTATAATGTTCATTATTTCCTTCCGTTTTTATTGACTCTGTTCCTATTCTACCAGTGAGTAGTGCGTATTTCATGTCTTCGAGTTTCACTAATTCTCTGCTATAAGGCTTATTCTCGAACTAGTGAAACTTGTATCTGAATTTTTGTGATTTGGAAGAGTGTTATTAAGAATTTAGTTTTAAAGAGACTGTCGATATACAATGAATATTTCATGCAAATACATTTTACTGAGTGTAAATTTTTTTGTATGCTCATTGATTATCTATTGTTAAAGTTAAATACAAAGAATGAATTTGATTAGCAAAACTCAGCGTAATATATAATAGGGAGGTTATAGATAGCTTGCTTTGTTATAATACTGACTAACCTACAGCCTTTATACAGTATCCATTTTATTAGATCATAGAAATCATGAAATTCGGTAATTTGTTGGCAGTTGGTACCAGTGACGTTAATTGTCATATGTTGGTGACATAAAAATAGTAATCAACTAAAACACTTAATTAATATCGAATTACTGATTAAAGAATTTAAACACATCAATTGAATTAATTTATCAAAAATCAATTTTTATGACTCCTGGCAATAAATCTTATAATAATTGAAAGATGTGTATTTTTTGTCAGAAATATTTTACCTATAAAATCTTAGATTATATAATAAGTAACATGGACCTCTATATCTGTAATTCAACCGCTCAATATCATTTATTATTGATAGAAATCTAGTTATTTAGTGTCATAAGTTTCATATTTCAATAAATAATATACTAATATTGTATTTACTTATATTTATGACAAGATTTTCTCTCTTCTTTTTCAAGGGTTATGGAACACAAATGATGAATCATTTAAAAGATTATCATTTACAGCATAAAATATTTCATTTTCTTACATATGCTGATTCATTTGCCACTGGTTATTTTAGAAAGCAAGGATTTTCACGTGAAATACGCTTAGCTCGACAAGCTTATTTAGGTTATATTAAAGAGTATGAAGGTGCCACATTAATGGGTTGTGAATTATATCCAAATATTATTTATACTAGATTTTCTGAATTAATTGCAAAACAAAAACAGGTATTTATTGTTGTTGTTTTTGTTGTTGTTACTGTTTGATTCATTTTTTTTCTTGAGTCTGTATAATTGTAACTTGTTTTCCAAATTGAATGAAAGTGACGTATTCCTAATAAATTTTGAAATAGTGTAAATCAAATTTCATTTGCCATTATTCTAAAGAAACTACTGAATGGTTAACTCCAGACTTTCAAAAGTTATATAGTTGTACTCATTACCTAGGGTACATCTTATAAAAGATAATAATAAGACATTTACTTAATATTATTCAGATAATAATTTTGGCTCATTATTGAATACTTGAATATATGTATATTGTTGTAACGGGTGGACTGCAGGTTAAATGGAGCAGCGTATTTATCGATCGATTCAGTGACATGTAAAACGCGTGCGGACGACCTAGAGTCCCGATTGGTCCCTCTTCGCTGTCTAACCCAGCCAGTTGAGTCCATAACACAAGTCACAGCCTCTGAGATATGAATCATTGTATTTCAGACATACTCTATTTATATACCAACCAAACAGACCACATCGTACCATAAAAATAGAAAACAACATCTGTACAGTATTTAACGAGTGAAATAAATAATGGCCAATAGGGAATGTCCATTTAAGGTCCAAGGACATCATTAGACTTAACATGATAATGATTGGTATATTCTTCTGCATCCCTAACATATATAATATTGTTGAATTGTACTGGTCTGTTTGAAAAAAGCAAACCATTAATCATATACCATTAGTTTACCACCAACTGCATTTCGGTTTATATGCTGTGGTGGTTCGCACAGAATTTATCTTCATCTCACCAATCATCATCCACATTGAAACATTTCGACAATTACCAGATTTGAAACACTCACTCGCATTGCAAACATGCTTGCTTGTGTATAATTCACTGGATACATAAATCAATTTAGATTTACGCTTTCATGTATTAACTAACACAGAGTATTGAGTATGCATGATTAGTGTTTTAATTGTATGAGTTATTGTGATTATGTTAATGAAAAAGTTTATAATTATTTTGTTTGTAAGGGGTTGTTTATTTTTCACCTGTCATTTCTACGTGTTTATTTATTTCAATACTTTTAAGGTTCTGTGTTCAGTTTAGGAAAGTGTTCTATTTTGTGATATTCGGTGGTACTAATTTCAAGAATAATAGTTTTTTTGTATGATGTTATTGTATAAGTATAATATGATTGTATTTTTGGAAGACAATTTTCTGAGACACTAATTGATATGATTGTAACATTGATTTAGTAGTTTCCTTTCATGATTCCTTCTTAATTATTTGATAAAGAGTATCATAGGAAAAAAACTTACTTTTCGTGATTTTACCATAAAGTCCTACCGTATCTTTAAACATTTTGTTTCGTGAATATTTTCTTGTGAACTTTATATCTGTAAAACATCATTCGTGATACGAGTTTGATAATTTCACTTAAATGATAATATATTGTAAATTATTTGATATTTATTTGATAGGTTATTACCCGGTTGATAGAAAAACGTCGTGAGTCTGTTAATCAAACCTACCCAGGAATACCTGCCAAACTATTTCGTAATGGACCTTTAAGACCAGATCAAATCCCCGGTCTAACTGAGATCGATCTAACTTCAAACAAATTTTCTGATTTATTTCATAAAATTCCTAAAACAGAATTATCCGAAACCAATCAAACTTCCATAAATAATCATATTTCAGTAAAGCGAAAATCGTCAGAAACGTTTGGTAAATGTGTTGAGAAATTACAAGAGCCTCCAAGAAAACTACGCAAACGTTTACTCGATCCTTTGCCAAGTCCCAGTCCGTTGACTACAAAGCCACAGCTGAAAGCAAGAATCAGTTCAAGGTCAACGCGTTATAATAGCTCATTAAAAACGTAAATTTAATTTGCTGACTTATAGGAATTACAAACAATTACAACGTTTCTTTTTTTAATTTAAATTATTAAAACCATTTTATCGTCTCGGCATATAAAATGGCTATATTTATTAATATATTAGAATTTCATGTATTTAGATGATTTTTATCGTTAATTAATACTCATTTAAAATGTCTACTGCACTACCATAGAAGTAAAAGTTCCACAAAATTCCCAATGTAACAATGTCTTTTCCAAGTAATAAGTATGTTCAATCTCAGTAAAAATTCTTGTCATCTCAAAATACTTTCGTCAAATAATTAGTTGCCAAGATTATTACAGACAAGAGTGATGATTACATATTTGCTCACTATAATAATTAAATTACTAAAATTGTTAAGATATCATTTAATCTTCAGATTGCCCGGCAGAAAAAACTTGAAAGGTTAAATTCATCTTATGGTGATTTACGCTGTCATATTTCGTTTTAGTGTAGAAAAATAAGATCAACAAAATAAATAGTAAAAAAGTGAGAATCATAAGGCCAGGACTAATGGAGAATCCCAATAAAAAAGATGGCAGAAGAAAGGATTATAAACATGGAATAAGGTAATGTCTCAGACTAAAACGAGAACAAAAAATAGATACAACTGTTCACATTACTGTAGTACTTAGTCTTAAAATAAGTACTATCGATAAAGAAAATATTGATTACAAGAGTATTTTACCCTTGATCTGGATCATCATCACAGTTAAGTTTACGAATCGTCTTTACAGTTTTTATGTGTTTTCTATTAAATTGATTGTTTATCGAATCATCGTAGAAATATGATCTAGTAGTTTTAAAATACGATTTCCAAAATGTGTCTATTTTTAAAATCATTCTCTGTATGCATCTCTTCAATCACAAAATATTTTTAGTTTTTCAGCCATTGATACAACTAAACTCTCGTTACTTAAGCTTCTGCTAGAGATAACTAAGTGGGATTAGCTTGATATTATTGTCGGTTAGCTGACTGTTCAGTCTTGCAACAGTTGTGATTCAAAATGAGTGAATTTCAAATCACTACTTGACACTATAACGGTTGTATAGACGTTTTAAAAAAACCAGTTACTCAAGACACCTCATTTTTCATGAACATGGATGTTTTCCACTTGTTTATGATAAAAATCAAAGTCAGCTTCTACATAAGAAAAACATTAATATTTGGAACGACAGTAAAAGTCCCACAAATAAGGGATCTAGCTCAGAGAATCCAATAACACTAAGATAATTCAAGAAACTTCATCAAGTTTAAGGGTTTTTAAAAAAATCCTAGCCAATCTTTTATTTAGTGGTTAAATAGTTCAGTTATATATTATCCTCTCCTAGTCAGCCTTCAATTTTTCCTTCAAGAAAAGAATGTTAACTTTTTGAATTACATTTAAACCACACTTATTTTTAGTTAACCAATTATTAATTATAATTCATTTAGATCAGATTCATTGGAACCTGTTTGGATACAAGAAGCTAAACAATTAGCAGAAAAAATTCGTCCTATCCTAAATGCATTACGTAGTCATATATTGGCTGGTCCTTTTCAAAAACCTGTTACAGTAGATGAAGCTCCAGATTATTATGATATTATTGTTTTTCCAATAGGTAAACAAATTTCAATTTATTCATCTCATCATGTTTACTAAACTAGTAGTGATAAGTAACATATGTTCCTAATAATTGTAAATAATTCTTGTTTTATTCTCATTTTATGTTTTCTAAAATATTTTTTATGCAAACTTAATAATAGTCCAAACATTTACACTTTTATATGTAGATCATGTAATTCTATGCAGCGTAGATCCTGCTAAGATTGTAACTATTTAGTAGAAATCCATGAACTGTAATGAATTCACATTATTCAATTTGAGTTATTATTCTCGTTTTATTAACCATTTTAACAAGAATAATTTCTTAACTCTATTCAAATTGTCTCACTTAATCGAATTTTTTATTTCACTGGAGAAGAATAACCTATCTATATGGCATGTTACCGGTTCGACATATTTGTAGGTACTAAATCTAGGCGCATAGTCTATTTGTACTTACAGTTTGTTAGATTTTCAATAGAAATTTATTGTATATATACTTACCTTTTATGAATAACTGTTTGTATCTATTATTTTAAGTCACATTCGATAACTAACATATCCAATATTGTCATGTTACATGACGTGAAAAAAATAAAGGTTGATATTTTGAATAAAACAGTTCTGTTGTTATCGCTTGTGTTTTTTGGATAGTTATATTCATTTTAAGAGTTCTCTATTATATTTTGAATTTAGAAGCCTAGAAAACATTAGCCCTGTTTGTACAATGAAAACAGATGTTTCTCTGGGCTACAATTAAAGATATCACCAACATAAAACTAATACAGTTATTGTTACTAGTTGACGAAATAAGATTAGCTACTCTGTTATATTCTTTTACTTTTAATATAGACCACAACTGATCATCATTCGTTGAAGGGAAATTTTTTACCTTACTCTGAGAAATCTCAATCAGATTTCGATATATATGATATATCATCTGACTACTCTTGCAATCAAGTTTTCAATTTAATTCTTCACATTTTTTACAAAGTGATTAAGTAACTGGTTATTTAGTAACTAAAGCACGCCTATTAACTAGTAGATTGTAGCTTTAAACCCTGTTCCCCTCTGTTTGGTATTAGGCAACCGGATAGTATTAGTAGGCTTTATACAAACTATATGACTAAAATATGAATACGGCCTACTTCTACCATACAAACTCATTTCTTGATAAACTTTCTTAAATACCTGATTTTTCTTGAGATATCATGGTTACTTCTACATACTTTTAATTGTCACATGGTTTTGTTTTAACAGCCAATTTGAATTGGAAAAGTTCTGGAAAATGAGATTATAATGCAACTAATCACTGGTGATTTTTAACTTAAACTAAAATAAAAATGTGCCAGGTACTTTAAAAAAAATAATCTAACTTCTTACTCTTATCCTTTATTTACAGATTTAAGCACAATGTGGGAACGTTTAAAATCGAATTATTACGTTACGAAATCCTTGTTTATTGCTGATATGATGCGAATGTTTCATAATTGTCGTACTTATAACCAACAAGACTCTTATCTTTATAGAAGTGCTAATACTTTAGAACGTTATTTCATCAATAAAATGAAAGAGGCGGACTTATGGCCTTAAATTATATTACAGAATCAGCAAGTTATGTAACTGAGTTTAGTAAATTTTGTTTGAATGTTTCTTCTCCTATTTGTTTCCTGTTTTTCAGGGTAACACTTCGTACAAGTTTTGTATTTTATAATTTATTGTATGACAGGTGTTATTTTGTGTAAATAACTTATAGTCTTATTAAATTTCGTAAAGTTGTTAATATTGCTCAAGGACTATCAATAAATATCTGTACTGAAAATCCTGATTTTAATTTCGAATGGGTTTAATTTCTATCTAATATTTTTCACTTATTCCGTGTAAGTTACTGAGTTTTTAAGAGAAGTATGAAGAATAAGTGAAGAGCACATGGACTAGTGATGGAGTTGGAAGGTGTGCTTAGTTGCTTTGCTGATTAGATTAGTAGTCATATTATAAAATCCAATCGTCTAAGAATTTTAAAACACCACGATATATTCTGTTTCATGAATTAACTAGATGACGTACAATTAGATTCTCAGAATAGATATATTTCGTTATAAAGTTGTAGACACAACTTTCTTCATAATTTTAACGGGATGCTATCCTGAGACAATAATTTCAAGTGGCTGATGTAAAACCCACTTCAGAAAAAACGTGAAAAGGATTTAAGGCAAAAGAAAATAATGTTAACTTAGAGACAAACTAGCGACAAATGCACACTACCATCATCTTCTAGGTATCGTTATCCTGAAAAAGATTGTTTACTAGTCTTTCCTGAAGAAATTCCTGCACATACACATGGTCTAGATACTTCATTAATTTACCAGTACCTATTAAACTTACAAATTAAATTAGCGATAGCTTGACATATGTTCAAATTAATGACAGACCTGTGGTGTTTCAATATCATGTCTACTGATACACTAAAATTCATTTAGTTTAACGCTTATATTAGGATATTCAGGGAAATATCCCAAAAATGATCCTGTTAAGCCTAATGCTATCCTTGGACATGAAATGGTATCATCTTATTGGTCAATGTTTATTCAACGTGTTATTTTCCTGTTGGCCATTATTGTACAATGTTATCTTCTATTTTATGGTACGTTGTGGACTGCTTGACTGGTATATAAACAAAGTATGTTTGAAATATAATGATTCATAAATCCGAGGCTGAGACTTGTGTTCTGGACTCAATTGACTGGGCTAGACAGGGAAGCGAGACCAATCAGAACCCTAGGTCGTTCTACGTGTCTTTGGTCCGATCAATTCGCTACCCCTCAATCAGCAGCATTTATTTTTCACGTTATAACAGCTTATGAATGATTTTCGCTTCAAACTGTGAAAACTAATTGATATGATACGTGAATCAACTGAGTAACCCTCTCCAAAATGGATATATTTACCACGCACGCAACGTCGTAGACGATACCTAAATGTTACTTCACGAGATTTCGCAAAACCCGTAATAGATGCACATCACTTTTATAGATGGTTGCAGTTACTTCAAGGAGAATCATTAGCCTAAACAAAACCTTGATAATGCGAGAAAACGACTAAGCTCTTGAGTGAAATGCGAACTGACAGAAGCAACCGACAAGAACCCGTGCACCCTAATAGTGGCTAATTTACGGTTACACATTTGTCGTAGATATTTGAAAAGGGTGATTCGGCGTTGTGTGTGGTCTAACTGTAATCGTTACAGACCTAATGAGCAAACTATAATGATTTTAGAGGAAGAAAATAACATCTTGTTCTGTCGGAATGGAGTTTGAGTCAGATCTTCTTTCAAGCGGTGTTCATATAGAATAATTGCTTTGTAAATCGCTGCTCGCTTCATTCTAAGCACAATATGATAACTTTATATGCGTTCACGATATTCGAGTTTGGGGAACTTCTAGAAACACCACATTCAAAACTCCCACTCGTCCTGAGTTTATTCACGGTTACTTATTTGAGAAATGCGACGAGTATTTTATACCACCAATTTATAAACTGATGACCTGAGAAAAATTAAAGCGTAAAATGAAAATAAATTCTTAGCTTATTACACTTGCACTTTTTCCGTATTTACAATGAAGTAGATAATTAGAAGTGCAGTAAGAAAGATTTTATTTCAGTAGTTTATCTTCTCAGTTCATCGCTTGCTTACTATCAGACTTCATTCTCAGAAGAAACACTTATGCACCACTAATCAATATAGCACTTAAGTATATTACATTCTCTAAAATGCTTTCAATAAATTTTTCATCCTACCCATATGCACCACAACTCCGCCTGTAGCTCTTTCAGGGTTACCGCTGATCGCAAGCCCGTATAAGACAGGAAGGTTGGGCATGGGGTCCGAAACCCCATCCCATGGGAAACAAACTTGCTTTAATATGCTAACCAGAAAAATAATATAAACCATCTAAACTGTAACGTGTGAGGATCTCCCTTCATAAGAATTATGACGCTTCATAGTGAAAGCCAAGGTTCCTCAGACGTCAAGAAGCCAATGCGATTTATAACGTCCAGAGCAATAACTAATGTAGGCATATGGAATGTCCAGAAAATGTGGGGAATTGTGAAGGTCAATAAAATAGCTGTGGAAATAAACCCAACCTACTCAAACTGAAAGGATTAGGTTTGAAAGAGATGTTCTTGTTCTCTCCGTTTGAAGAAAATGCTTTGAAAACACAAGGAGTTGCACTGATGCTCTACAAAGCACGAAAAGCACTCATACAATGGGTATCTCATGATCCAGAACCATCAAAGCATTCTTCAGAACATAGAACGAGGTGAACACAATCAATGTTATCTAGTAATGTGCACTCACAAATGATAGTAATGAAGGCGATAAACATCAGCTTCGTGAGGTTTCATTCGACCGTAGAGAAGTGACTGCGAAAGAACCTAACCATCCTGATTGGATACTTAGATGCAAAGTCGGATCGGACTACACTCACTATGAAGATATTATGGAACGACATGGACTGACTGAGAACAAGGGGTTAAAACGGTGAGATCTTTGCAAACTTATCTTCATTCAATTGAATGGTTGTACGTGGTACTGTTTTCCTCAACAAACGTATACACAAACCTACATGGGTCTTACCGGAGGATCACACCGCACAGAATCAGATCGATCATATTTACGTCAATAAAGAGTTCAGAAGATCAATGGGAGACTTGAGAGCAAAGAGACGAGCTGCACACCTTCAGATCACCATCTACCTGGTGGTTGCCAAGATGAAACTCAAGCTAAAGAACTACTGGACAACTAGAGAAACAGCATTATAAAGGTTCAATACAGCCTTCCTTCGACATACTGACAAACTCAACAACAGGTTACAAGTACTACAGCATCTAATCAAACAAGAGGAGACTACGATGGAGAACAACTGGAAACGGATCAAAGATGCACTAACTCCACAGTTCAAACAGGTTCTAGGCCGCAACAAGCATCATCATAAGGAACAGATACTTATTGATACCTTGGACAACATTCAACAAAGGAAGAACAAGAAGACAGCAATTAGTAACAGCTGAACAACAGCAGAGATAGTCAGAGCACAGACTGAATACGCAGAACCAGACAAGAGAGTGAAGAGGAGCATTACAACCAACAAGCAGAAATACGTGGAACACTTAGCAATGACAACGAAAAAGACTGCAACACAAGGAAATATGAGACAACTACTATAGGATACAACAAAGCAACTGGCAGTGAAATATTGTAAACCAGAGCCACAAGTCAATACGAACGTAAAGACGGTTCTACTGTAAGGAGTGGATACGTGCAGAACTACGACCGTCATCTTAAATGTACAAGTATTTATAAACAATTATCTACGCGAGATACTCAATGTCCTTGGGCTAGATACCATAAGCAACAACCGGAGATGGCTAAGAACCAATCGACTTTCAGTTAAACTGAAAATTAAGAAAAGATGCTGGGGGTGGGTTTGATTTGTTGGCTGATGCTCTACTGCGTTTTTCATCCGGTTCAGCAACTCGCTATTAAAGACTTCGCCTTATACTGAGAGTAGTTTAATGCCTTTGTATTTTTCACATTTGCTCAGATCTCCTTTCTTTGGAATCTTGTTGAAGTCACTAATAGTACATTTATCGCAGAAATCATCAAACTGCATCAAGAGTAAAACCCTAATTTGGAATCCCGAAGGGGAAAGGAAAAGAGGAAGACCATCGCGTCGGAAATTGGAGGCAAGTATCAAAAGAAGGAATAGCACCTAGGTCTGTTCAGGACAGAGTTCGATGAAGAACCCGGATGGGCAGCCTATGCTCCTGTGAAACGGGTAACAGGCGTAGGTAAATAAGCTCTACGCACCACAAATAAAACTGCGAAATCACATAAGCAATGAACACGTAAATTGGCGTAAAATTTTACTAGAATATGTATAAAGTGCATTAGAGACTGGTCAATTTTAGCCCTGAGCATCAATGGGATGATTCAAACAACTAATATACATGAATTAAGCGTCACTCTATCGCACAAGCAAATGGTTCTCTGATATAAGTAGCCAATTGGATAACGCGGTGTTTGAAGCAAACGTTATTGGGTTTGATTCCCGGAGTGAACACCAACTTTGGAATGAAGGCATATCGAAACAGCGAGGCCCAAATAGGACAAAACACACATCCTGGATTTCACTGCTAACCACCATGTAAATCTGCTTATAAGAATTAAGTCGTGCTTCATAAGCATCCGTCTAATAAACTAAAGAATGACTTCATGAAGTAAATGTAAATTCAAAACAAGTGTAATTTCGGCAAGATTAAAAGTATTAAAATACACTTGACAGTTATGTGCAAACAGAGAAATGCAGACATCCGAAAAAAACATGTTCATTTCATCATAGGATCTATGGCGAAATTTAAAAACGGCGAGCCCTTTAAGAATGTGAGCGAGAAGAACTTGAACTAGAGGATGAACTAGAACCGGAATTCGAACTTGATGAGGAGGAAGAAGATGATCCTGAGTTGGAAGAAGACGAAGACGATGAACGGGAAGATGCTTTCTTATCACGACGGTTAACATCTCCAGGTTTTTTATCACCTCGACCAGCAGTTGATTGTAATTTTGCTTTAGGACTATGGGACCTAGGTCGTTTAGGG